GCTTTGAAAAAATAACCAAAGATATCTCGTGCTAACGGGATAAATCTTAAAATATTCTGTGAATAGTTTCCGAGCATATTTTACTATAATTTCGGAATGATTCTTCGTTTTTGTCATCAAAACGTCAATAGTTCAGTGTTAATGTTAAAAGCCTTGCATAATAATTATTATTCTGAATAATAAAAATAAAGTACTTATTTTGGTGTATAATTTTGTAATTGGTATTTAGTATCAGGAATAGTTGAAAGTCTTGGAAAATTCTACAGAATTCTGTGAAGTCTCCTTTTTCATTACATAATTACTGAACCCGTACTGAACTTATTGCAACTAGGAACTGACTGTTGTCAGTATCACACTGAACATCAAATTTGTCAAAAAATAGCAATGTCATATCAATGTGATCCTTTTTTATGTAATGTCTCAATACGCAAATGCAGAACAAATAAATTGGTTTTTGCCGGTTTTTCATTCAGTCTGAAAGCTTTTGAATTTAAATTTAGTCGTTATTCCACTATAAATGGAATGCTCAAAACTTAGTAATTACCAATAGTGACAATATCGAAATCTGGTTATAACTCGGGTTATAAGTATTTTTCTAACGGAAATTATACAGTGTGTCCCACTTACCATGCTCACCATGGGTATCTTTTTAACGGTGAGAGATACGAGGTCGGTTAAATGACACCAAATGTGGAGTTCGTCAAAGCCAACTATAATGTGGAAAAATATTTTGATAAAATCTATTCGTTTTTGTTTTATACGCAAAAAACAGATTTTGATCATTTTCATGTCTCCTCCGTAACTTCTTTATTTATGAAAATATTCAAATAGGAATTTCACATTCTCATGGCAATTTTTCAAAATGATTTCGAAAAAAATATTAAATTTATACCAACTCTTCAAGAATTTGAGATATCATCAGCACCAACTTTAGTTTTTCAAATGTAGGTCATAGCTCACTATGACTTGGTTACAAATAACTTTTTTTTCTCTTACAGATGACGTGTCGCAGTAATAGTTTTGTGTTGATAACAACGGAGTTATCGTCATTTATACCAAAAAAAAACATTATTTCAAAGCCGCCATCTTGAATTTATAAGTTTCAACAAAAAAATCATGATCTCCGACCTCAAAAACCCCCACTCACCAATTTTGAATGGAATCGGACCAAATCTTGTCCGCCATCATGGAGCAGCCATTATTTTTTAATTTCAACAAAAATTCCATAATGAATTGTCACCGAAATTATGAACACCTGCTAAATATCAAGGCAATCGAAGTTATGGAATTTTCGCTGAAATTTAAAAAAATGGCTGCTCCAAGATGGCGGACAAGATTTGGTCCGATTCCATTCAAAATTGGTAAGTGGGGGTTTTCGAGGTCGGAGATTATGATTTTTTGTTGAAATTTATAAATTCAAGATGGCGGCTTTGAAATAATTTTTTGTTTTTGTGTAAATGACGATACCTCCGTTGTTATCAACACAAAACTATTACTGCGACATATCATCTGTAAGAGAAAAATAAGTTATTTGTAACTTAGTCATAGTGAGCTATGAGCTACATTTTGAAAAACTAAAGTTGGTGCTGATATCTCAAATTCTAGAAGAGTTGGTATAAATTTCATATTTTTTTCGAAATCATTTTGAAAAACTGCCATGAGAATGTGAAATTCCTATTTGAATATTTTCATAAATAAAGAAGTTACGGAAGAGACATGAGAATGATCAAAATCTGTTTTTTGCGTATACAACAAAAACGAATAGATTTTATCAAAATATTTTTCACATTATAGTTGGCCTTGACAAACTCCACATTTGGTGTCGTTTAACCGACCTCGTATCTCTCACCGTTAAAAAGATAACCATGGTGAGCATGGTAAGTGGGACACACTGTATAGCATAGTACTTTTTACGTATAGAGACACTGTACATATAGTAGGTATTGCGTACACTTTAATTAAAATTGCGATACAGACATCTCGCTTTCATGTAAGTTATTTTTTGTAAGTTGTAGTATATACGTAGATATAGATTTCTTTTATATAAAAATGCTAACCAAAAAGTCTTTGGAATTGTTTTCTCTCGTTTATAAAAATATAGGTACAGCAAACCGATGCTCACAATCCTTATCGGATTTTCCACATACAGGGTGATCTGCATGAAATGCCAAGCATGATGTGCAGATCACCCTATACTTTTCCATTTATAAAACTTTGACCGTAACTGTCACGAGACAAGACTGCCTTTCTCTCGGTCTTTCTACATAAATAAAAATAAATAATTTGCAAATTAAAGAAGTAACGAATAATTCCAAAGACGTCAGTTTATACAGGATGCTTCCAAAGTCCAACCACCAATTTTGGGCGTAATTTCGATTTCAATTCATCCCTCTCATCATGTAAATGTGTACGTAAATTTTGCATAATTTTATAGATAAGGTTAGGACGTTAGGACCCTTTATGTGGTTAAACCAGAAATTACACTAACTCCCTAGTTTCAAATTGCACAGAGTATATTCTATCGGTTTTCAACTGCTACATTTCAAACTATGTATAACTATTTGTATTTTACATTCAAGATGATACGACGAAAGAAAGTCGAATGAAATTTTCAATTGAAAAAAATGCAGTAGGCTACGAAATTTTGTTTTACCTCGATTTTGATTTCAATACTTCCAAATCATCCTTCAATAGTAGGTTATCACTTTTTAGACATACCCATAATGGAGCAGATTCGGTCCCGAAACGTCCAAAGATAAGTGAAAATTTGATATTTTTTCTATATACCTTTATTTCTCTTCTCCAAACTTTTTTCAATACAAATTGTCACTGACAAGCTAGTGAATTTTGGTGCAAATCATCTGATTTGTCCTTACTACACGTATATTGAAATAATATTAATATTTTTATTTTATAGAAAGGAGGAGAGAAAATCTCAAAAAATTTGGAATAATGAATGTACCACTTCCTCGATTAACCTACAGACAGTATTTAAAGTTGGGTAATTTTCAATGAAATATTGTGAGATAAGCATTATTTTTTGTGACGATGTAGATTTCGCATATTTTCTGTTATTCACGTCCATTTACGCGATGAGAGAGACGAATTGTACACCAAGGGATCAAATAAACGCACCTCGAGAAAGCATCTGCAAACTCGCTGAACACATAACACACATACAATTCTTACAAACATCCTCTCACTCACTCTTTTAGTCACTTCAGATTGGTCTGGTAAAAACTAGAGTTCCTAAATGTACTTGACACTGCAGTTTTGACGTTTTTTTGTATATTATACAGCAGTGTCAAGTACATTTAGGAAATCTAGTAAAAATATGGAATCATTTCCATCAGTTCCTTTACCAATTTTACAGACCAACGGCAGTGACCGCTTTCAGCTCTGGACTAGATAATACTGGAGACCCGCAGCGGTACTGGTGCCCCCCCACCCCTCCCCCGTGTAGCACTGTTGCCAAGTCTCTTATCCACCACCATCTCAAAGGGCGCAAGTCTTTGAGAGAGTGTTCGGGTGATGCCCTGTGGTACCACTCTGTTGGTGCCATCTGTTCTTTCATGTCTAACGTACTTGGGGTCTACATAAGGAAAATGAAAGAGATAGACTCGGAGTTAGACCTGGAATCATGATTTTTTCCACCACTAGCTATTGAGTGAGTTTTTACTACCAAGGTAATTTTCGTCAGTCAATAAACACATAAGGTGTAGTAAAATCATACTTCACGCCTCGAAAAGGAGTAAATAATGTTAGGTTTCATAGCTAGTGGTGGAAAAATAATCATTTTGATTATGAAACCGATCATTTGATTATCAATTTGGTGTAATCTGCCTGTTGTTTCCATGAACTATCACTGGACTGTCATATGGAGAAAATGGAATATCAATTTATTGATGATTAATTCTATAAATACAACATTGACCAAAGAAGTACCAGAAAAAAACGATTTGGAAAATATATTCTATTGCAGAAAGAATATTAAAAAATCTAAGCAATCACATATTTGCATACGATTATTTCAATTTCCAGGGCATGACATGTTTTTGAATATATCAAAAACTGGTAAAAAGTAATTGAAAATGTTCCTATGGATTCTCGTATACACCACTGGTTTCGAAAGACCGTCAGGAAGAACAAAAAATTTAATCGAGACATACTCCTTATCGAAAATGTTGAATCGTGTGTTAAACTGAACAATGATCATTTTAGAAAACACTTTTGTTGATAAAGATTTTCAGAGTCTGAGAAATGGCAACATTGTCAACATAGAAGAGAACCATACGTTATGAGAAGACGTTATTTCAAATCCAATAACCTTGATTCAGGAATCTATCAGTTTTGACTTTCTGCCAAATACCTCAGATATATTGGGAACTTCAATTTTCTGTTGACAATATTGCCAATTCCCAGATTTCGTCTGAAATCTTCATAAAAAAAAGTAAGCTGCTGAAATTAAGTAATTGTCCACAACATTTTGGAACTAGTTTAATTGTTCGCTTCTGACTCCAGTAGAGGAGAAAATCCAACAAAAACGCTTATAACATTTTACCGAGCATTTTCCCCTCGATTTTACAGTTTTTGATTCGTGAAAACAATATTATCATGACTTAGCATGTGTTTTGATATTCCGTAAAAAAAAGAAAAAAACATTGAAATACGGATTTTGTAAGAGTTCTCCGGTCTTGAGTTGATCACACAGTATAATAACATTTTATAAAGCCTCCTTGTTCAGACCCAAAGTACGCCATCATATGATACATCAAAAAACCAAGTTTTTTCCGATCTCCAACGTGGGCACTCAGTAAAAAAGCACGGAATATTGTGATAAACAGTTAGAAATTACACTTATTTACAAAACGAAGAAGGAGAAAAATAAATTAACATTTGTAATAAAGTTAGAATCGATAGGTACACATGGGCAGTCGTCGAAACATCGTCGCCGGAGAAGCAGAAGAAGTAGAACCGTCAAATAGTGACAAACTCGCGCACTAAAACTCGGGGCTCGAGTCGAGCAGTCTCTTCTCGGGAGTCGTAGCAGCAAGCGCCACATGGGCGGGCTGGGCGGGCCCGCACCTGCATCCCGTCCGCGAATGCCGCGCATAGCACTCCTCCGCCACTCGCTTGCAGCCGCGCAACGGCCAATACAACCACAGACAGGGCAGCACGCACGACAGGGCGGCCAGACAGCCCCAGCGGGCCGCCCGCCGATGCGGTGCGCAGGCGCAGGGGTCGTCCGCGCAGCTCTCCCCGCCCTCCGCGTCGCCGCAGTGATAGTACATGCCCTTGACACAGCACAGACAGGACACGTAGTCGATGAGACTGTCCGCCGACACCAGACACGAATTGCCGAACACCCACTTGTGGGGCAGCGGCCTCGGCTGTTGGCAGCTGTCGCATCGGCAGCGGCCGCAGCGCGGACACATGATGGAGCGAGTGGCCGCGCACTCGGGAGGCGGGTCCTTGCTGAAGCTGGCCACGCCCCCTCCGGCGGGTTGCTTGCTGACGGGGGCGGGGAGGGCCAGGCGGGCGGGGCGAGTGGGCGGGGCCAACGGCCGGGCCGCCCGGAAGGGGGCTTCCACGTACTCATTGGCTGCGCGCTCGTTGTGTGGGCGGGGCAGCGTGAGAGAGACGGTGGGAAGAGGCGTGGTCGCTGTTGTTGTCGTCGTGGGCGATCGGAGTGGGGCTAATGGGGCGGTCTGGGGCGGGGCAGCGCTCATGATGGGCGCCCTGGGGCGATGAGCGCGCGGCAAAGATGTCGCCCCTCCATGGTTAGCCATGTGGTCTCCGGCGGAAGGTTAACGCCCGAAACGGGCTGGTACACCTTTTTGGTCCGTCATCCTCTCCAGCTGAAACGGAAATGTGCGATTGAGTATAGGTGCAGACGGAAACTCCAAAATACGAAGACACGTATGTATTTTGGGTGTATGATAAATTGATAGACATCATACAGGGCGTGGAAAGAAATTCTGAATTGAGACATAATTCATCTGAGAATATTCCTTTTCAACATTTTCATACCCAATCAAGTGAACGATGGAAACTTGTCATTTTTATAGACCTCTAATCACAGACTCGTGATAGAGTCTCAATTCAGAATTTCTTTCCACGCCCTGTATGATGAATATCAATTTATCATACACCCAAAAACAAAAACGTCCAGATGACAGGAATAGAATGTCAACAAATTTTCTCAGATGTAATTTTGTTATAGTTTTACTCGGTTTTAGTTGTATTATAGAGAGATGAAAATTGTGTATATCATGAAGAATAGCTGTAAGAATAAGTGGACATCATGGTTACTGATGAGGATTTAGAAATCCGAAATGAGTTCATTGCAATAAAGTCATATAACCTGTGTGTGAGAGATAATATTTCCCATATCACTGATATGAATGATTATTTTTGGAAGTTTTCAAGCTCATCAACATCATTCATCAGTTTATGCCAGTAGATTTCTCCTATACATTCCAATTTTCATTTCAATGCTGAATATATTGATAAGTTATATTTTTATATCATTATACATCATATTATTCATCCGATTTGAGAAAGAATGTCAATTCTCAATTCCGGAGATTTTTTATTTTATTTTTCATGTTCTACTTTTGGATGTTCATCAGATATAATTCCATCCTACCTTCAACGCTAGTAGATGATTGGAGAGGGAACGAGAACAATAGATATGTATCTCGCCCATACCACGCCTATTTTATCGCTGAGATTATTTTATTGGAATTGACAACAACATTAACTGTATGTTCACTAGAAATCAAATGCAAAAAATACTCTGTGTGGATGCTGTTATTAAAAGTACAGTATACGATATTTCTATAGATTTACATATACTGATGTCTATCTATCACAAGAAATTAAGAAACAAGATTCTGATCTCTACGGTAAATGATTGAGGAAATCCGACCTTGTCACAGGCTATAAAAAGTAAATCATTAAAGGACACTAATTAGTGCAGCAGAATTCAATTTATTTATGACAGGAATGTTTTCATAAGCCATGTTGATCCGACGAACATTCCCGCATGCATAGGAAAGCAATATCACGGCAATATAAATTTCTTCCAGTAGCAAAATGAAAATATGCAGGAAAATGAATAAACATATCAAATGAGGATGTGAAAAGTTCTTATATTTCAGTACTTTTATAATTATTCGTAATTGTTGGGGGCCTCATTCTCAAATTCCCAAAGAAATGATCCCGTTATTGACAAAAAATCATCAGCGGTACTGACGTCATAAATACTATAACATGCCGACCATCTATGGATAGATAGAAAGTAAAGAAATATCGATAATTCAGTAATTAGTGAGATAAACGTTGCCGTCTCAACCGATTCTTTAGCTTCTTTGGATAGTTTGAAATTCACTTGTCCTTGTTTTCTCAAAAACTGGATTTTGGCATATTTTGACATAGATATTACGTAAAGTTATCAGAATTTGAGGTTCATTAAAATGGCAAGTATACCAAAATCGTTCAGTTAGATTTTATATAAACCTTGGTTCAAACGTATAATTATTGGGTATTAGACCGATTTTTTAGCTACTAATTAAACCCACAACACGACGTGCTACAACCTATCTAAGTGTTGGCTATAAACTTGTAGAATTGGCAATGAGGGTAATACGAAGGGTAAAACCTATATTGGTGGCAACTGCATCAATGAATATGGAATTATCTCTACTGTTTTGGATCGATTCGGAAACTGAGCAATATTTACTTGATATTTCCTTACAATGAAACAGCTGCCAACAAAGGGAGAAGGAGTGTATGTCCAGCACTGGATAGAGGATTCAAATGGTGTTTCACAACATATTTTATCAATAAATTGATACATTCATTCATGTCATGTCACTACCACTATATTTCAGTATCAATTCCAATATAGGGAATAGGGAATTAGCCTCAAATTAGCCCTTCAATCTCAATATATCAATATATCAAATATGGTGAAAAATCTATGTTTTCAAAAATGGCTCTGCTGAGTTCAGCCGAAGCTAGCAAAGCCACAGATTTTTCTATGATAGGGAGGAGCAAAGAATTCGGGAACAGGGTAATAAATTAGCCTAAAATGAGCCTAAAATTATGAGATGTGTCTCATGTTGAAATTCGAAAGTGGCTCTGCTAGCTTCTTCGGTATAGATTATTTGGTGTGTGGGTTAGCGAAAACCGAGGCAAAAACCCTGTGCGAGCTTGACTGGCATCCATTCCGACATTCCACTCATTTCAGCTATCGCGTGAACGAAATTTCGTCAGGCCATTATTATAAGTATACCTGCCCCCACAGTTTCCACGCCTATGTGTCGGAATAATAGTCGGAATTCCTCGCATCTGATTAGAGCCAGGATGTTGCCTACCTACACGGACTTCTCGACCGTAAATCAGTTGAAACCGTTGGTAGGTATATCACTCTTTTACCAGCCACATTTCGGAATTTTTCGTTCCATATTCAACGTCGTTTCGTATCGGCCGCCTCGACTATAAATCGGCTCTTCTCAATAAAAATAGGTATTCCAGATATGCGTCGGGATAGATAGATACTCGAAAGGAATTCGTACAAAAAATACATTTAGAGCAATACCGTCTTCACCACCAATCAGTGATTTAATTCGTGAATTAATTCCATTGACTTTTTTCGAAAAAGTCATGAATTCATTCAAATTTTAAAAAATGAGACAAATTGCACTATTACCTTTGATTTCAACTAGTTTAAACTGAAAAATTCGATTGTATTTTGGCAAGACTTTCTTATTTCAAGCATGACAGAGATTTTTACTAACAGATATATACAGTATCAACGAGTATCAAGTATATCATCCATAAAGTCCATAACATATGAGAACAGGTTTATTATCACAGCATCGAATTTTTTTCTCTCGGCGATCCATTATGCATATCCGATAACTTGAAAATCGATTTTGACACATGTCACGTGATCAGTGGTATGGTGATAAATGAAAATAATACTATAAAGCGACGAAAAGTGGGGTTAGATGACGAAATATCCATGAACATTTCTTATTAAGTTGCTATTCCACATTCAGTTTCGAGCAATTTTTGGAGAAGAATTGGAAATACCAATATTTTTTCGAATATTCTTCAATTTTGTCACAATTCTCTTTTTTTTCTGACAGTAGAGATGTTGATGATGTACAAGTTGAATAAAATTCAATTTCATGCTCACATATGGAGTTTCCAGCCATTATTTGAGAAAATTGAAAATAGCTATTTTTATTTCTTTAAAATAACTTCATCTTCCCATCTAACCCCCACTCTTGCCATCGTAATTTTTTTAATTTACCGCCACACCAGTGATCAAGTGACATGTGTCAAAATCGACTTTTAAGTAGTCAGACATGCATAATAGATCCCCGAGAAAAAATGTTTCGATATTCTACTAATAAACTTTTTCTCCATGTGTTACGAACTTTATGGATGATACTGGATCTATATGTATCTATTATTTTGTATTCTACCATCACTTTTAATTTTGTTTTGAAAAAATTACATGTTATATTATGATGTTATTCTACAAGATTTCTGAAGGGAATAAAAACATAGTGTTTTTGTTTCTTTTTTTCTATTTCTCTTTGGGTAAATGAAATTTGTTTGTTTTTTTGTTTTCAAATGAATTAATTCAAAAAAGTCGGACTTAATTCGAAAAGTCGGACATTGATGACTTTTTTATTATATTTATTAGCATGAATGACAAAATTCTAAATTAATTCGCTGGTAGTTTTTCAGTATAGAGTTCACGATAATGTCATTTTAAAAAATCAGTGGTCTCCCCCATTATAAAACATCCTGTATATGTCAAGAAAATAATCAATAGTCGATTCATTCTGATTTAGAGAACCAAGTTTCCCTGGAAATTGCTATATCTGAAAAGTATAAGTGCATTGCTTCCATCAATATTGGACATTTTCCCAATAGAACGTACAAAAATATTGAAATAATTCTTCAGGAGAATTGGTAAATGAGATTGTGATTTTAAAATAATTGTAAAATATCAAAGAAGAGACAGAGAAATGCCACACTAATAAGCATAAAGCATAAAAGTTAACATCAATCAAGTTTCAAGGTCGTTTCTTAGGCATTGTACTTATACTCGAAACTAAAATTGGTGTGGGCTTCAACAGCCTCATTGAGTTTATTACATTTACTCAAATGGAGAACATGGAAAAGTTGAGCACACCCGAGCAATGCATAAAAATCTAAAACAACAACAACATTTCATTGAAATGTTCGTATACAGCTCGGTATACAGTGTGTTATTTGAGTACCTACCTATGTGGCCAAACTTCAAGAGGTGATTTTTCGAGTGACTCAAGGTCGAAAAGTTCATTTAAACTTGAACCTAGGGATTTCCTAAATACAGGGTGAGTCAATAGTGTGCTCTCTTTCGATATTGGCCACGATATATAGAAACATTATTTTCATACCTACAGAGTGACCCATTTGAAAGCGGGCCACCCACCCCTGTATCTCACGTAATCGTTGGGTAAGGATCATGAAATTTGCTGGAGCGAGAGATATACCGAAAATGCCACTCTATGACCAAGTGGGGTCATCTTCAGTGATATACACTGCTCGCCAACAGCCATGGAACCACTCCAATTTCCGGAAAATGATATTAGTCAAAATATGTTGAAAATCACTTCGGATTCGGAATCAGGACGCCCAATTCACTAACTCTTCATATTTTTCCTTGAAAATTTTCAGTTCTGAAAAATTAAATTTTGTCGCACTTTTCACGAAAGCACCC